GATAATGTCTAGCTTATGATTATTGTGAAGGCTGGAGACTGGTGCTGCTGTGGAACTGTACTTCATTATACAGAGGGGAGCTTCTGTTTTATTTGTTCTTTTTTTTTTTTTTTTTTTTAGCCCAGCGTGAATTACAGTGGTTTCAGAAAGTATTCAGATCCCTTTCATTTTTGCAGAATTTATTGTGGATTCCATTTTTAATGGACACAACTGCCGTTTCTACCCATCATTATACACTTAATTCCCCATCATCACAAAGTGAAACTATGGTGATAAAGTGGTCTGAAAATTAATCAAGACTGTAATCTCTTACTTTCAAAAGTACTCAGACCTTTGTTGTGGCACTCCAGTGTGTTCTGTTTGATTTAATTATCCTTCAGATGTTTCTAGAACTCAACTGGAGTGTGCCTGTTGCAAACTGACTTGACTGGACATAGTCTGGAAAGTCACACACCTGGGTCTATAAGGGCCTTGAATTTACACTGCACTGTCAGGACAAAAACCAAGCCATAAAGTCCAAGGAAGTGGCTGTGGATCTCTGTGATCAAACTGTAGCCAGGCATAGATCAGGGCAAGGATATAAAATGATTTCCAAGGCACTGAGTGTTCCCAGGACCACAGTGGCCTCAATAATTCTGAAATGGAAGAAGCACAGCACAACCCTGACCCTTCCTGGAATTGGCCGTCCAGCCAAACTGGGCATCCAGGCAAGAAGGGTCTTGGCCAGGGAGGTGAGAAAGAACCAAATGGTCACTCTAAAAGAGCTCCAAAAGTCTTGTGGAAAGATAGGAGAACCTGTGCTGGATGGACAACCATCTTTGCAGCACTCCATAAATCAGGCCTTTATAGCAGAGAGGCAAGGCAGAAGCCACTTTTAACTAAAAGGCATGTGACAGCTACACAAGATATAAAGGACTCTGATAACATACGGAAATGGATTGTCTGGTCTGTTGAGATGAAAATCAAACTCTTTGGACAGAACAGCAAGCACCCTGACCTGCAAACAACAGGTACTGCACATCACCAAGCTAACACCATCCCTACGGTCTAACACCACCGGTGGTGGCAGCATCACACTATGAGGTGCTTCTCAGCGGCAGGCACAGGGAGACTGGTAAGATCTGAGGGATGGATAAATGTAACCAAATACAGAACCATCCTTGAGGAAAACCTCCTCCAGAGTACACACAAACTCAGACTGGGGAGACAGTACACCTTTCAACATGACAACAACCTCAAGCATACAGCCAAAACAACTCTGGTGTGGCTTCAGGCCAAGTCTCTAAGTGTCCTTGAGTGGGCTAGGCAAAGCCCAGACTTAAACCCTGTTGAACACTCAAAACTGAATCCACATCACAATAAATTGTGCAAAAAGTAAAGGAGTCTGAATCCACTGTGCAAATAAGGGGTGGACAAAATTATTCTAACACATCAGTATAATGTAGTACAGATGCTTTATTAGACTACATTAGCTTGAGCTAGGTGTACTTAATAAACTGTCAACTGAGTGCATAAAGCTAGATCAACTTGATAATCTGTTGTGGGTTTGTAACATGAGTCCCCTATTGCGGTTTACACATTTAGAGTGGCCACTAATGATAATTTTCATTCCCAATTGTACATATATTTTCTTCATTTATTAATTTGTTTTGTATTTAAAATGTCTGAAAAAAAAGAGAACATGTTCATCAAAATGTCCCAGAGCCAAATATGACATTCATGCAATTCAAAAAATGGCTGAAAGAATTTATCAATTATCAAAATAGATGGCAACAAATTACTGATTGACTAATCATCACTATACACAGTGAGCCTACCTGGGCAGGCAAAGGAATGCCCCACTCAGCAGG